TATCCACACAATGGAATAGTATTCAACCTTAAAAAGGAAGGAAATTCTGACCCATATCACAACATGGATGAACTTTGAGGACACTACGCTGAGTGAAATAAGTCAATCACAAAAGGGCAAATACTGTGTGATTCCATTTATGTGCACTTTCTAAAATAGTCAGATTCGAGCCTCTTCCGCCCGCCTGCCTCACCCTCCGCTCTGCCTTTCCTCTTAAAATCAGTATTGCTAGCTCAAAGAAACCACTTGGCATAAGCCTGTTTGGCTCATAGGTCTTTTGTTGTTGTTGTTGCCGCTGCTGTTGTTTTTAAGTTAAAAGTCAATCTAAACCCAATAATAATGAAACTGTCAGCAAAAAATAAAATATAACAGTCAGATTCACAGAGAGAGAGAAAGTGGCTGGGGGAGTTAGTATTTCATGTATCAAGTTTTAGTTTTGCAAGATAAAAAGAGTTTTGGAGCTAGATAGTGAGAATGGTTGTGCAACAATGTGAATGTACTTAACACCACTGAACTGTGTATTTTTAGAAATGGTTAAGATGGCCCTGGCCAGCGTGGCTTAGTGGTTGAGCATCAGCCTTTGCACCATAACGTCACCAGTTCCTGTAGCTGTCCAATTTTCCCAACACCATTTATTAAAGAGGCTGTCTTTACTCCATTGTATGCTTTTGCCTCCTTTGTCAAATATTAATTGAGCATAATGTCTTGGGTCCATTTCTGGGTTCTCTGTTCTGTTCCACTGGTCTATATGCCTACTCATAACCAATGGACATGGACAACAAAGCCGGGGACAGGGTGGGGGGGATGGGAAGGAGGGTGTCAATGGGGTTAAAAAGGAGAAACAGCTGTAACAAAAATAAAATTAAAAAAGAACTAAAAAAAAAAAAAAAAAAAAAAAAGGTCACCAGTTCAATTCCTGGTCAGGCCACATGCCCAGGTTGCAGGTTCAGTCCCCAATCAGGGTGTATATGGGAGGCAGCCGATCTATATTTCTCTCTCTCCCTCTCCCTCTCCCTTTCTCTCTCTAAAGTCAATACAAACATATTTTTTAAAAAGAAGAAATGGTTAAGATGGTAATTTTTATGTTGTGTATTTTACAACAATAATAAAAAAATCTTTCTCTCAGCTCATGATCAAAGAATCTACTGAGTGTGACTCCCACAGCTAAAATGAGGCTGAACTTGAGAGCCGGCCTCCAAGTTCTCACACCTGCACGGGGACACAGGATCGGCCTGCCCCTCCAGTCATTCTCAGCCAGGGTGCCCGTGGCTTGCCTACCCTCTTCCCAAAATAGGCTGGAAGACTATTTTGGTACAGTCTGCCCTCTCACAAAATGAGATCTCAGAACATTTGTGCTGGAAGCAGGGAGCCAACTTATCATCAACACCCATCAGGTGCTAGATGAGCCCAAGCAGAAGTCTCAAGACTCACAGAGCTGGTGTTTGTAATCCAATCCAGGCACCCTCCTGGGCCAAGGGCTTTCCAGCCACTCCCGCCAGTCATCCTAAGAGGAAACTGAGGCTCAGAGAAGAGGAGTTTTCTGCCCCATGCCACACACCTCATAGGTGAAAAGCCAGGATGTGAACTGGTCTGAGAAGCTTCAGCGCCTATTGTTTTATCCTTTTCATTTTAAAGTAGAATTCTCAACATACAGTTCTGTAGGTTTTGACAAAGACATAGTTATGGATTCCCCACCACAATCAAGATACAGAACAGTTCCGACACCCTTCCCAAATTCCCCTGGCCTTTTATCAGACCCTCTCTCCTCCCACCCAGCTCCTGGCACCCACTGACCTATTTTCTGTGCCTATAATTTTGCCTTTTCTAAAACATCCTATAATGGGAGCCCATAGGAGGTAGTGAATCTGACTTCTTTCACTTAGCAAATACATTTGAGATTATCCACTTTGCTGTATGTGTCAGAAATTTGTTCTTTTTTTTTTTTTTTAATCACTGAGTAGCATTCCTTTGTGTGGTGGGATCATTGCATAATATTCACCCACTCACCAGCTGATGGACATTTGGGATGCTTCCAGCTTTTGGCGATGACCACAGTCAACTTGCTCTAAATGTTTCTTGTGTGAACATGAGTTTGTGTTTCACTTAGGAATGGGATTGCTGTGTTATATGGAAAGTGATGTTTAATTTCATAAGAAACTGCCCAACTGTTTCTCACCAGCACTACTTGAGTGTTCCTGTTGCTCCAAATCCTTAGCAGCACCTGGCATTATTAGTTGTTTTTATTTTACCCATTCTGAGCAGTATCAGATTTACTTTCTAGGGATGCCATAACAAAACACTGGGTGGCTTAAACAATAGAATTTATTTTCTTATTGTTCTGGCAGCTAGAAGTCCCAGATCAAGGTGTTGGCAGGATTAGTTCCTTCTGTGATATTTCTCTGTGACCTGTAGACAACCATCTTCTCCCTGTGTCCTCCCATGGTCTTCCCTCTGTGTGTGTCTGTGTCCTGATCTTCTCTTCTTATAAGGACACGAATCATATTGAGTTAGGCTCCACCCAAAGACCTCATTTTAACCTAATCACTTATTTGAAGACCGTATCTCCACATATGGTTACATTCTGAGGTATTAGAGCTTAGGACTTCAACATATACATTTTGAGGGTAACATAATTCAGCCCATGACAGATATGCAGTGGCATTTTATTGTGGTTTTAATGTGTATTTCTTGTGATTGATTACTTGCCATCCATATATTTTGTTTGGTGAACTATCTGTTCAAATCTTTTGCCTGATTTTTAATGTTGTTTTTTTCCTTACTGAAGGTTTTTTTTTTTAATCCTCATCTGAGGATTTTTTCCCCCATTTATTTTCAGATAAAGTGGGAGGGAGAGGGGGGGGAGAGAGAGAGAGAGAGAGAGAGAGAGAGAGAGAGAGAGACATCGATGTGAGAGAGATACATTGACTGGTTGCCTCCCACGTGACACTGACCAGGGCCAGGGGCGAACTGCAACCAAGGAACACGCCCTTGAGTGGAATCGAACCTGTGACTATTTGGTCTGCGGGCCAACACACTAACCACTGAGCCAAACCAGCCAGAGCCTGAAGGTTTTTTTATAGCTTGATTGACGTAACATAGACATACAGTAAACTGTTCATATTAATAAGTATACAATTTGATAAACTGTGACATATAGACCCGTGAAGCCATTACAGCAATCAGCATGGTGAAGACATCCATTGCCCAGTTCCCTTGAAATTTTTGGCCATCCCTTCCATCCACCCCTCCTCCTCTCCCCAAGCGCACATTAATCAGCTTTCTATTTTATATAAAGGGACTCAGACAGTATGCATTACTTATTTTTTTAATATATTTTTTTCTTTGATTTTAGAGAGAGAGAGGGAGAGGGAGAGATAGAAACATCAATGAGACAGAATATCAACTGGCCGCCTCCTGCATGCCCTCCATTGGGAATCCAGCCCACAATCTGGGCATGTGCCCTGACCAGGAATCAAACCAGCGACCTCTTGGTGCATGGGTCGACGCTCAACCACTGAGCCACACCAGCTGGGCTGCATTAATTTTTGGATGGCTTTTCTTCACCCATCACAATGCATTTGAGGCTCATTCATGCTATTGCATTTGGTTCCTTTTTATTGCTCAGCAGTATTCCATTAGGTGGTGCAGTCATTCACCCATTCACTTTTTGGGGGCATTTGTTTCCAGTTTGCGGCTATGATAAACATAACCCTAATATACTGCTGGCTGGAATGCAGACTAGTGCATCCACTGTGGAAAACAGTATGGAGTTTCCTCAAAAAATTAAAAATGGAACTGCCATTTGATCATTGATCCCACTTCTGGAAATATATTCTAAGAATCCTACAACACCAATCAGAAAGAATATATGTACCCCAATCTTCATAGCAGCATTATTTACTATAGCCAAGATCTGGAAACAGTCCAAGTGTTCATCAGCAGATGAGTGGATAAAAAAGCTGTGGCACATTTACACAATGGAATACTATGTGGCTATAAAAAAGAAGGCTCTCTTACCCTTTCAGATGACATGAAGGGACCTGGAGAGTATTGTGCTAAGTGAAATAAGGCAGTCAAAGAAAGACAAATACTACATGATCTCATTTATATGTGGAATCTAATGAACAAAATAAACTGACAAACAAAATAGGCCCAGAGGCATGGATGCATGGAACAGAATGACAGATGAGGGGAGGGGATTGGTGGGATGGGAAGAGATTAACCAAAGAACATATATGCATATATGCATAGCCCATGGACACAGACAATAGTGTGATGAAGGCCTGGGATGGGGCAGGGGTAGGGTGGAGGGGGACAAAAGGGGGCAAATGGGGGACATCTGTAATACTCTTAACACTTTTTTGAAAAGCTGCCATGAACTTTCATGTGCATGTCTTTGTGTGAACATATATTTTCATTTCTCTTGGGCAAATACCTGAGTGGAATGCTGGGTCATAAGACAAGTGCATGTTTAACTTCTTAAGAAACTGCCAGTTTTTGAAACTGTCTTCTAAAGGGGCAGTACTGTCCACAGAGTATGGGAGTTCCAGTTGCTCCATATCCTCACCAGCACTTAGTATGGTCAGTCTATTTTTTGTTGTTGTTAATCCTAACCTAAGGATATTTTTTTCCATTGATTTTTAGAAAGAGGGGGGAGAGGGGGAACATCGATGTGAGAGAGACATACCAATTGTTTGCCTTCCCGCACATGTCTTAACCAGGGCCAGGGATGAACCTGCAACTCAGGTACGTGCCCTTGACTGGGAATAGAACTCTCAATCCTTCCGTGCATGGGCTAATACTCTAATCACTGAGCACACTGGCCAGGGCTGGTCATTATTTTAATTTTAGCCATCCTCGTGGGTGTGACGTGGTACCTTTCCACCTATAGCCACTACTTTCCATTGGTAATCAAGGGCTGCCCTGAGCCTCATTCCCCTGGAAACTCTGAGCACCTCTAAGAAAAAAGTAGGAATGAATCAGACAAGCCAACAGGGTTCTCTCACAACAGATTTATTTGCTGAACTTTCATGCCAAGCCTTGATGGACATGCAAGAGGATACAGTCTCAGGACCCATCCAACTGCCAGATATCACCAGATCAAGGCACTTTCCCAACAGCTGGGCAACACCTGGGACCCCATAACCCTAAGCCAATCTCAAAACAGCTGCAGACTAATGCCCAGAGCACACCCTGAGCACCCTTTTGCAGAGGACAGCCTCAGGCTGGCCTGGCCTGGGCCCAAACTCCAAATTCAATCCACCCACCCCTCTCAGACATCCTGGTGACCTGGGATGAGATGAAGGTAGCTAAGAGGGGCCTTCAGCTACCATTCTCCTCACTCACCCAAACACAAGTTTCCAGCCTGCCCAGCAGCAGCACAAGGCTGAGCAGAGTAGGCAGCAACATGTTTAGTAACTGAATGGGCGGCAATGGATGCCAGCATGAGGATGGCCTGATGCTGCCAGGGCCCAACAGTGAGTGCTTGGAGCCCCCTGGACACACTGGACCTCGGAACCCCAGCCCAGCTAGCTGTATTTCTTTGGTTTAGCGGCAGGCCAAAGCCAAGGGTCAGAACAAGCCTTTCCCATCCTCCAAGCTCTGAAGTCTGGCCTAGATGTGTCTAGTGAAGGCCTTCTTTGTGCCAGGTAACTTGTGGGGGTCTCCAACCCACAAACACAAATGATCTAAAACACAAAGCTGTTCTCAAACGCAGTGAACACCCGTCAGGGGCTCTCCTGCTGACTGCACGGTGCTTCTGAGCTTATAAGGCTGGTTCGTGGCCAGCCTCACATCACCCTTGTGTACAGAGAAGGGCCAGGGGACCCCATTATACAGATGGGGAGCGCAAGGCTCAGAGAAGGAGGCACCTTGCCCAGGGATGCCCAGGAGGAGTCAGCAAGATGTGGAAATCACAGCAGCTGCCTCTCAGGAGGTACTTAGGAATCATTCGTCAAATAAATGAATCTCAATGCTGCTTGAAATTCAGAGTCAAAACATAATTTTAGAGGAAATAATAGAACCAAGAATATAACTGCCAGTATTTCTGGCTGGAGCCATTGCCAGGATTCTATGCCCCCCCAAAATTGGACTCTACAGGGGTCCTGCAGAGAAGGACCCCCATTCCTACAAATGCCCTTTACCCTCATACCTCATCTAACCCCTCACATCAGCCCCAGAAGGTGGGCTAATGGCCCCAGTTTGCAGACAGAGAAGTTGAGGCTCTGCGAGGGGACAGTTGAGCCCAGGACACCTCCCCCACCCCCGACTGAGGGTTCTGAGTCGGGGTCTTCTCCCCATCCTCCCACAAGCCCCCTGGGCCACCCCCTAATCTGCCTTCTTGGTCTTCTTCTTCCTGGAGCCCTCACTCAGCTCCTCCTTGGACTTGGTGGCCATGGCTGAGTGTGGTGAGCTGGGCCCACTGCCACCGTGGGCTCCCCCATGGACCCCACCATGATTGTCATGATGATGGTCACCCGCCAAGGTCATCCCAAATAGCACGGGACAGATATAGCCCTCCAGAACATCAAAAGGGGAGGTGTGGGAGTGAGTGGCTGTCAGGAACACCTGAGGAGGAGTGGCAGGGGGACAGAGAGACAGCGAGAGAACAGAGGAGATAGAGAGAAAGCAAGGGGTGGGAGAGAAGGGACAGAAGTCAGTCAGATAAGGTCAGAGGTATCCCAGGCCCAGCCTTCTGGCTGTACACCCTCTCACCCCCAGGAGGGTGACCAACTGTCCCGGGATGTGGAATGTTAGGTGCTAAAACCAAGACAGTGCTGGGCTCACCAAGACAGTTGGTCACTCTCTCCCCAGAAGTGCTCTCACACCTGGGCTCAAGGAGGAGCTATGTTTGGCCTGGAGTCACTTACTCTCTTTTGCTGGCTCATGGTCCCTTCCCAGGGAGCCAGCAGCAGAGTTCCCCAGCTCTACAGGGAGGGAGGAGAATGTGGTCCCTCAAGGCCCCTCCTGGAGGGTGGGGTGACCCCATTCAAGGCCTGATGATCAGACCAGCACCATTCTTGGTCTAGCCCAGGGCTCCAGCATTCTGAGGGTACCTCCCTCCCCTCCATCTTGTCGCTCTACTCTCCACACCCAAGGCACGCAGACCCTGCACACGCCTGCCCCCCTTAGCTTTTGCCTAGGCAGGGCCGCCTGCTGGGCAAACCTTGTTTTCTCACTCCCGTGCCTACCTGCTGGACACTGCTCTCAGTCCCTCCTCCACGCAGGGACCTACTCTCCATCCCCACTTAGGGCTCGCCTTTCTTGAACACCAGAGGATGAGGGTCCAAGCCCCCCGCCCAGGAGGTACGGGTGGGCATGGGTCAGGATGGGAAGGCTTACCTTACAGGACACCATGAACATGGTGAAGATAAAGATGAGACTGGCTTTGGACACTGGGAGCCAGCGGGTCTGCTGGAGGGTGAAGAGTATAGCTCCATACAGGCTGGCCTTGGTGGGGCTGGAGGGGACAGCTATGGTTACCGGGAGGCATGGCTTGGCCCAGGCCTTTGTACTTCGGTCCCAGACCCCCTTCTCTGCCTGCCCCCAGCCAGCCCCAGCCCCGTTGGCTTCCAAGTGTGAAATGAGAGGACTCCCACATGGCGTGGAGGAAGTGGTGTCTCTTTGTGTAGTAGAGGGTTAACTTGACTCAAAGAGATCTGGCCTTTGTATCTGGAGCTTGGGAGGTAACCTCTAAGTCCTGGGAATGTCCTGCGTGACAGGAGTCTTTGTTTACTTGGGGACTTCGGGCCACACCAGATAGTAAGAGTGTGATTTAGGGTGGGGATCTTGGGCCATGTGGCATCAGCTCAACCTCTGGAGGAGCTGGAGGCTGAGGTCAGTCATGCAGGTAGTCAGCTATGTTTGTGTCACTGAGCCCCAGTAAAAACCTTGGACACCAGAGCTTGGAGAAGTTTGCTGGTTGGCCATATTCAATGCATATGGTCACACATGGATGCTAGGAGAAACAGGCACTGTTCACAGAGCTCACGGAGAGGGGACAACCAGAAGTTTGGGCCTGGTCTCTCCCAGATGTTGTCCCACGTGTATCTTACCTTTGCTCATTTTAATATGTATCCTTTCCCTGTTATAAACTATAACCCTGAGTAAAAGGGCTTTGCTGAGTTCTGTGAATCCTAGCAAATCATCAAATCTGAGGGTGCTCTTAGGGACCCCCAAACAGCACACTCCCCTAAGAGCTGGAATTGCAATACATGATTTTTCTTCACTTTCCTTTTCTTGCTTGCAGACTAGGTTTCTAAGATTTTAACTTTTTGCAAGAGACAGACCCATGACTTCTGTTCCTGATGTCTGTCACTCATTGCATGTACTTAAAGATGATCATTCTAACTGGTGTTTCCAAAGCACTTACCAGATACCAGGGCCAGGGGATTACGTCTGCAATTCCATGGAAACCTCACCCTCAGCTGGTGAGGTGGAAATAGAATCTGAGAGGGGAAGCCACTTGCATGCTTAATAGCAGGCAATGCAACTATCTGGGCCCCATTTCTCCCCCAGTGAATTGAGGGTGGGAACAGACTTTTTGTGGAGATGAAATGAGATAAAGCCACACTTTCCAAAGTGTAAAACAACAGGTAATGTTCATTGGTCTATGGGTAAGCCTTTTAATTTTTTCAGATTTTAATGGCTATAGTTTTATTTACTGTGGATTGGGAGAAAATCTAACTAGCCCGAACCTGTGAAGTCTTTTAAAAATATATTAAGCAAATTCTCTCTCTCCTCTCTCTCTCTCTCTCTCTCTCTCACACACACACACTCAAACACATTCCTGCATCTCCCCCTTTTTCCCCAGGTGTGTTTTCCTTGCCTCCCTCTCCCCTAAGCTGCAAGGGCCCTTCTTTTGCCTCTGTAACTTGTTTCCTGAGTCCATTTTTTCCTAGAGCTCACTTCTACCACTGTGACTTTCTAAATAAAAAAAAATATATATTAAGCAAAGTGCAGTGTGAGGTTCCAGGTTGGGTCCTAGCTGCTGCAGTCTGACCCTGCCCGCCCTACTCCATTTAGCTGCAGCCATTCCCCACCCACACTCCACGTCCCATGCTCCCCACCCAACTGTGTACTCCTGCCCTGCAGAACCAGGAAAAACTTGTTTTTTTCTGACTTGACAACTGGCAGAGATGATGGCCTCTGTTCAGAGGCTCCTTCCTTGACAGAAAACTCCTATTCATTCTTCAAAACCCAAATCAAGTGTCTGATTTCCCTGCATCTCTGCCTGCCCCTGCCCACTAGGCGAAATTGTGGTTCCCTCTCTGGCTTCCCCCAGACATATCCTTTGGAAGCTTCTAGAAGGCAAGATCAGGAGCTGAGGCCTCCAAGTTACCAGAAGTATCCAATCCAGGGTCAGGTCTAGGGGGCACAAGAGGAACAGACAGGGAGGACGGGGTACTCACAAGGACATGTGCAAGATCTCGTTGGTCTCTGGCTTCCAAACCCCTCGGAACAGCTGCTCAAAGTTGGACATGAGGGCAACACCAGAGCCTACAAAACAGGATACTTCTGCATGAGCCCACCACCCCCAGCTTCTTTCTTGGCCTAAGTCCCATGGAAGCAGACTCTCTGCTCCTGGAGTCCTCTCCAGAGGGACAATGAGCCTGGGGTATATGATGATTAGTTGCAGGTGAGGAAACATGCTCAGAGTGGGCAGAATCTTACCAAAGGTCACACAGCATATGTGGAGCAAAACAAACATGAAGGAATCAAGCTAATATCCCAACTGAAAGGCTTGGACAAATCTGGTCTGTCTGCCCTGCTGCTCCCAATCCAGGACCCTGAGCTGTGCATCAGGCTTCCAGAGTGCCCCCCACACACAGCTTCTCTCCTTAGGGCTCTGAGCTCTCAATCTGTCTCAAGCCACTTGCCCCCTGGGAGGCATGCTATACTCCTGGGGAATTAGTATTGGCTTCCTGGAGTAAGAATAAGGAGACCCACATGGAGACATAATGGTTAAATTTCAAGGAAGAATCTTTCCTTGGATCCCAAATGCACGTTAAAGAGGCTCAGATTCCATCCCGGGGAGTAGCTGTGTAACTGGGGTTCCCGGTATGTACCACTGCACCAGGGGTTCACAACTGAGGTGATTTTTCCTCCCAAGGAAGCATTTGGCAATGTCTAGAGACTCTTTTGGTTGTCACAACTGGGGAGGTGAGTGTGTTGCTGGTGGGTGGAGGACAGGGATGTTGCTCAACCTCTGACCATTCATAGGATGGCCCCCACCACAGAGAATGAGCCAACACCAAATGTTAATAGTGCCACAGTTGAGAAACCCTGCTTGAGGTATCAGATGTTATTGTTTCATTGTCGTCCTGGTTACTTTTTTTTTTAATCCTCAGCCGAGAATATTTTTCCATTTATTTTCAGACAGAATGGGAGGGGGGGAGAGAGAGAGAGAGAGAGAGAGAGAGAGAGAGAGAGAGAGAGAGAGAAAGGAAGATCAATGTAAGAGAGACACATCGACTGTTGCCTCCCACAGGACCCTGACCAGGGCCGGGGTCCAAACTACAACCAAGGTGCATATCCTTGACCGAAATCTGGTTTGCGGGCCACACTCTAATTGCTGGCCAAACCGGCCAGGGCCCTATTTACCTTTGATAGTTAAATTTCTGGAAGAATCTTCTCATTTACTCTAAAGGTGTTGGCTAATAGGGACCTGGGCTCCTACAGCAGTCCTGATACCCCTTATTCTGGAGCAATGACTGTGCAAGCCTGGGTGCCCAATATGTACCATTGAACAGAGGTTCTCAACTGGGGTGATTTTTGGTTGTCATCATCATGATCCTGTTTACCTTTGACCCAGCCAGTGGCAATCATGATGAACCACCCGTGGTGGTAGTGGTGATGCGCGTGGTGGATGCCCACAGCGATCTTGCGAACTCTCACCACTTCCTTCATAGCCACAAAGATGAGTTTCACAGGCAGGAAGCAGACACACTTGTAAAAGAGGTCCAGGGGACAGAAGAAAATCAGGTACCTTCAGGAGAGAATGCCAAGCATCAGGGGGGAGACAGATTCTGGGGGCCCCCGGGAAGTGATGTTGTATCCAGACCCCTCTTCTTCATGTGCCTGGCTCAGGACAGAGCTGGGCAACAGAGAGCAGTGCCTTCGGGGCCACTGTGGAGGTTGTGCTGCTGGATCCCAGTTCCTCCAACCTCCTGCTTCCCACCTCCTTGGTGGAAGGGTCACCCCTGTCCCCGGCTCTGCTTTCCCACGCCCTGCCAGCTTGGTGATGCTTACCAGACAGCTGAGGCCAGCAGGACACTGGAGTTGTTGCTGAAGTAGTCAATCAGGGGCTCCCCAAGAAGCAGATCAGCCAGGATGTAACTCCCGAAGCAGTGCAGCATGGCACATAGCCAGGATGCCATGGGGTGGCGCCGTGACAGCTCCACTGCTCCTGGGGTTAGGGGGAGTAAAGGGGTGGCATCATAAGTATTTATTTTTTTGTGACTGGCTTATTTAATGTCCTCAAGGTTCATCCACGTTGTAGCATGTGTCAGAATTTCCTTCCTATTTTTTGGGAGGGGTTGTTGTTATTTTAATCCTCACTAGAGAACATGCTTAGAGAGAGGAAGGAAGGGAGGGAAAGGGGGGGGGGAGAGGAGAGAGAAACATCAATTGATATCAATTGGTTGCCTTCTGAACGCTCCCCAACTGGGGATCATACCCGCAATCTAGGCATGTCCTCTTAACTAGGAATTGAACCGGCAACCTTTCTGTACATGGGACGATCCTCAACCAACTGAGCTACACCAGCTGGCTGGGCAAATTTCCTTTCTTTTTAAGGCTGAATAATATTCTACACAGACACAGAGAAGGTATTGTGAGTTGAACTGTGGTCCTCAAAAAGATATATTAACGTCCTAACCCCTGGTACTTGTGAATGTGACCCCTTTTGGAAATAGGATCTTTGCAGATGTAATTAAGTTAAGAGGTGGTCATTAGGGTGGGCTCTAATCCAATGCCTTGTGTCCTTATAAACAGAGGAGATACAGGGAAGGCACTATGAACAAGGAGGCAGACACAGGAGTGATGAAGCTACAAGACACCAAACACCAAGGATGCCAGCCACCTTCAGAAACTAGGAAGACACATGGAAAGATTCCTTTCTTGAACCACTGGAGAAATCATGGCCCCAAAGACATGTTGATTTTGGACTTCTGGTCTCTAGAATTGTGAGATAATAAATGTGTTGTTTTAAGCCACCCAGTTTGTGGTACTTTGTTACAGGAACCACAAGAAATTCATACAGAAGGCCAATGTGAAGATGGAGGCAGAGACTGAAGTGATGTGTCTATAAGCCAAGGAATGCCAAGGATTGCTAGCAACACCAGAAGTCAGAAGAGAGAGGCCTGGAAGGATCCTCCCTTAAAGCCTCCAGAAGGAACCAACCTGCTGACACTTTGAACTTCTGGAAAATAAATTTCTGTCTGGTCAGATAATTGAAACTACAGAAAGAAAAACCACAAATGGGGATGAGTGAGGGAAGACTACTGTAGTTCATAGATACACGCACAGTGGTGACAGTATAAATACAGGGACGGGAGCAATACAGGCTGCTCTTAGTGTGGTAGTCATATCTAGAGAGGAAAGGAAAGAAAGGGGCAGGTTTGGCTATGTTTGTCACTGTATTTCTTTAAAAAAAAAAAGATCTTAAACAAATCTATGTTTACATTTGTTAAGTCTGAGTGGAGGGGACAGAGGTGACCATAATATTTATACTGTGAGTATGAAATAGTTAGTCTTCAAAACCATAAAAAACAAGAGGCCCCCCCCTGAAAGTTGGTAAGCAGGGAGGACATCGGTTGCTCTCCTGCCTCATTGCATTAGACTCCACAGTCTGTACTGATTCCCTTGTGGAGTCCTTACCACCTGCCTCGTCTCTGTTGGCCCTTGACGGGGGTCCAGGAACAGGTCTCTGCCTTGGGTGGGCAGTGGGATGTTCCAGTTGTTCTCTCTAGAAGAACCCACCAACAGGTTCCAGAAGACTCTTAAAAGTCCATGTTGCCCTGGCCAGTTTGGCTCAGCAGTTAGAGCGTTGGCCTGCACACCGGAAGGTCTCAGGTTCAATTCCCAGTTAAGGGCACATATCTGGGTTGCAGGTTCGATCCCCAGCCCCAGCTGAAGTCATTCAGGAGGCAACCAATCAATATCTTTCTCACATCGATGTTTCTCTTTCTCTCTCTCTCTTCCCCCCACCTCCCTTCCACTCTATCTAAAAATCAATAGAAAAAATATCCTTGGGTGAACATTAACAAAAAATAAAAAATAAACAAAAAGTTCATGCTCACAGCAGCACTATTCACAATCACCAAAAGGTGGAAACAGCCCCAGTGTCCATCAAGTGACAAACAGATACAAAATGTGATACATCTATACAATGGAACACTATTCAGCCTTAAAATGGAATGAAGTACTTATTGGAATGATCTCTTTGTAAGGTATATAAATGTCTAATCACTGTATTGTACACATGAAACTAATGTAATACTGTATGTCAATTATAATCGGAAAATGAATTTTAAAAAAGGAGCAAAGTCTTTTATTTTCTTTCATTGTTGATGGAATGAAGTCTTGATAGATGCAACAACATGGATGAATCTTGAAAACATGCTGAATGAAAGAAGCCAGACACAAAGGCCATATGTTGTAGGATTCCACTGATATGAAATGTCCAGAACAGGCAAATCCATAGAGATAGAAAGCAGATCACTGATTACCAGAGGGAGGGGCATGGGGGATGACTGTTGATAGCAATGGGTTTTCCTTTTGGGGTGAAGAAAATATCCTTAAACTTATAAATCAAACGTAGATGGAAATATAACAGTGGGCAAAAGTAGGTTTACAGTTGTGAGTACACAAAACGGGAGTTCATTCTAGTATTATTTATTAATTGTTGTATTATTTATTTGTGTTACAACTGTAAACCTACTTTTGCCCACCCCTGTATATAACATGGCCTTTTGCATTTGTCTCTTTCACTGAACACAATATTTTTTTTATCCTCACTTGAGGACAGTTTTTCATTTAACTCCAGATAGAGGGGGAGCGGGACGGGGGGGAAGAGAGAGAGAGAAACAGCAATGTGAGAGAGACACATCGACTGGTTGCCACCCACACGACCTCAGGGCCGGGGACAAACTGCAACCTACGTACATGCCCTTAGCAGGAACCAAATCTGGGACTCTCTGGTCCACAGGCCAACGCTCTAACCACTGAGCCAAACCGGCCAGGGCAAGTACAATATTTTTAACAGTAATGTTCATTCTTACTGTTGTATAGTATTCCATCATAAAAATAGATCACAAGTTAACCATTCTCTTGAATATACTACATTTTATAACTAGAAAGCATGCTTAAAAGTTGTTTTAGAGTAAATCATCAACACACTCCCCTTTCTCTTCGCCATCCCCACCAACTAACCATGTGACTTTGGGCAAACTAATTTTTCTCTCTGTGTCCCTTTCCTTCTGTCAGATGCAAACCCTTAATCCCTTCTTTGCTCAACTCCTAACAATGGTTGGAACTGCCCTGGCCAGTTTGGCTCAGTGGCTGGAGCACCAGCCTGCGGACCAGAGAGTCCTGGGTTCGGTTCCCGCTAGGAGCACGTACCAAAAAAAAAAATGGTTGGAACTGAATTTTCCCTCCTCAATCTCACCATGGAGTTACAAGTGCCATGTGCATCTTCTCCCTGACCTCAGATTATCCTCATGTCTCAGCATTTACCAAGGTTCTACAGAATTTAAGAAAGCAGAGTGCTTTCTTCTCTGGAGTGTCTGTCTATTTAAAATGCTGCCAGCTGAATGTTAATCCTTCAGAGCAGCTGGTGGGTCCTGCAGGGATCGGGTCAGGTGAGGCACCCATGTTTTGCAGAAATGGATACCTCTGCATTTAAAAATAACCCCCAGGGGTTGAATTCTTTCCAGGGTCTTTCTTGTGCCCTCTGGGGCTATCCCAGGGACTGAGACTGGGAGTCGGGGTGGGAGCCTGGGTTTTGTAGGAGTAAAGCAGGCTCTATGTTTGTACCATGGATAAGTCCTGATAAAAGTCACATGCCTGGGTTTTGACACAGTTGCTCACTCAGGCATGGCCTTGGGCAAATGACTGCTCCCTCCCCAACCTTAATTTCCTCTGCTGTCAAAAGAGAATGAGGCCTGCCAGAGTGGCTCAGTTGGTTGAATGTTGTCCTGTGCACTGAAAGGTTTCAGATTTGATTCTCCGTCAGGGCACATACCTGGGTTGTGAGTTTGATCCCCAGTTGGGGAACATAGGAAAGGCAACCGATTGGTGTTCTCTCTTTCTCTCTCTCTCTCTCTCTCTCTCTCTCTCTCTCTCTCTCTCTATCTCAGCATGGCCTCAAGTGATGATTAAAAAGAGAGAATGAAAGTACCCATTTCACCAAGTTGTATTGATGACTCAATGTGGTGTGCATTATAATCATTATATTTCTTATCATTACCAATACCCTCCTGGCAATCCCAGAAGGATAGGAAGAGTCTCCCCATTGCCATAGATGGGAAGACTGAGGCTGATGGAGATAACCTGCCCGAGGACCCATGGCAAGGCAGGGGCTGAGACACTGTGCTACTGGCTCCTTCCCTTTGCCACACTCCTTGGTTTGGGAGCAACACTCAGAAGCACCAGAATATAAGTTTCAATCCCAGGTTTGCCACCGAAGTTTTCCCCTTTCCCAGCTTCAATCTGCTCATGTACTGTCTAGAGTGACTGACCATCCCAGTTTGCCTGGGACCTAAGAGTTCCAGGGACATGGGACTTTGGGTTCTTGTCTTGGGCAAACCTGGCTGAGTTGGATACCCCAGGGTGCCTGTGAGGATGAAAAGAAATTGCTTAATGCCTAGCAATTATGCGAGAGTTATTTCTGGAACTGAACTGAAATGGAAAGTACCTGTGGGTGGAAATTCTAGTGGATGAATTTATAAAAATCAGCTCTGCCTTAGAAGGAGGAGGAAATCCTGATCAGGTCCCAAATTCCAGCCTTGATGCACTCCATGACATTCCCTCTCCAGGGGTCAGTGTGCTGTCTGTGGATGGCAGGGAAGTGCTAGAAAGTTCCCCAGGGCATTTTCAGCACTGACCCTCATTTGGTGCCATTTAGTTTGAGGTCTACACAAAGGAAGTGCTCTGACAGAGTCTCTCGACGACTCTAAATCCTCTTTTCCTGAGCCTTCAAGCACAGCTCTCTGCCTCAGTTTCTTTCCCTGCCTTGCAAGGTTGGAGGATGAGCAGCCCTCCATGTTCAAAAAGCTTACAGTTCAAACCAGAGATCAAGGAAGGGTTCTCTTAGCCCACACAGAAGTTTTTAAATGTTCCAACTGCAGCCAAGATGGCCTTCAGTAGGTTAATAATTAAACTGGGTACATCCATACCATGGAATATTACTTAATACTAAAAGGAAATGAGCTATCAAGTCATGGAAAGATGCAGAGGAACCCTAAATGCATATTACTGAGTGAAAGAAGCCTATCTGAAAAGGATATAGACAATATGAGTCTAACTCAATGACCTTCTGGAAAAGGTAGAACTATGGAAACAGTAAAAAGATCAGGGATGGGTGGGGGTTCAGGGTGAGGGGTAGGGAAGAGTGATGAATAAGTGGAGCACAAGGGATTTTCAGAGCAGTGAAACTATTCTGTATGATGCTATAATGTTGAATACATGTCATTATACATTTGCTGAAATTCATAAATGTACAACACCAAAGATTCCTAATGTAAACTATAGACTGGTTTATAATGATGTTGAAAATCTATGATAATAATGATTAGATGATAATAACAATGTTGATAATAATGTTGGTTCACTGATTGTAACAAATGGACCACTCTGGTGGAGGATGTCAATGGTGGGAAAGGTTATGTGTGTGTGTGTGATGGGGGTGATCAGTGAGTACGTGGAAACTGTAGTTTCAGCTTAATTTTGATCTGGATCTAAAACAACTCTAAAAAATGAAGTCTATTCATTTAAATAAAAGAGAAAGGGGAAAAAAAGTGTCCCAACAGTCAAATCACATTTCCAGCTTCCCTTGAAAAACCAGTTCTGAGGGTTCCAGCCCCAACCAGGTGGAGATGAGCCTAGCTGAATCTCACCTGGGCATAGTCCCCACCTGGCTGGTTTATTGCTTCCCATATATCACCTGCTTGGCCCTTGATAGCACTGGAGTTTGAGATTCAGATCAATGGTTCTCAACTGGGAGCAAATATTTGGGACACTAGCAATGTATGGGGACATTTTCAGTTATCACAATGGGGTGTGCTACCAGCATCTAGTGGACAGAGGCCAGGGATGCTATAAAACATCCTGAAATGCCCAGGACTGCCCTCACTGCAGAGAATGACCTGGCCCTGACCATCACTAGTGCTGAGGTTGGGAAACCCTGGTGCAGAGAGCTGGGGAACTTTAAAACATCTGAAACTGCCCTGGCCGGTTTGGCTCAGCGGTTAGAGCGTCAGCCTGCGGTCTGGAGAGACCCGGGTTCGGTTCCCGCTAAGGGCATGTACTTCGGTTGCAGTTTGTCCCCGGCCCTGGTCGGTTGTGTGGGTGGCAGCCACTCGATGTGTCCCTTTCACGTCGATGTTTCTCTCTCTCTCTCTGTTCCTCTCTCTCCCCACCCCACTCTACCTGAACAAAAAATGGAAAAATGTCCTTGGGTGAGGATAAAAAAAAAAAGAAAAAAACAAAAAACATCTGAAACTAATATAGTGTCTGTCAACTGTAACTGAAAAATACATTTTAGAAAATGTTTAAATGGCATAAGATAAAAGCATTTTATAAAACACATTGTATTGGCAAAAGTATAGGAAATAAACATATTTCAATTTTCCAAGTCCAACAAAATAAAATACTAATGCTGGTGCTACCACCCATGATTCTGATTTAAATAATAGAGGGTCAAGAGTTTAAAAAGCTCCCCAGGTGGGTCTGATTTGAGGACCACTGGTCTGAAAAGTTCTTTGAATGGGTCAGGCTTCAGGTAATCAGAATTGTAATTCATTCATTCCTTTAATCATGCAGCCAGCACCCACTGCTTCCTCCTGTCTTCTTGCATAGAGCTGAGGGTCCTGGAGGTGAGCCAGGCCCAATGCTCCCTGCCCCCTGAAGCAGCTCTTGGTTTAATAAGGAGCTCCAGCCTCTTATAGTTCATCACTTCTCGAATGTTAGTGTGCTTATAGGGATCTTATTTGAATGCAAGTCTGGGTTGGCATTCTGCACTTCATAACCAGCTCCCAGAAACATGGTTGCTGTTCCTTTGAGGACCACACTCTGAGCTTCATCTTCATTCTCAGGAAAGCCTGATCCATAAAATGCCTGCATCTCAGGAAACACATTCCCTCACTGCCTTAAAAATAATTGTAAGTACCTCTCCCAAGTGCCTTAGACCCTACCATTGATAAAATTCTCAATAGATCTTCACAACAACTAGGAAAGGGAGTCCAGGATTATTTTACCAATGAGCCCATTTCACAGATGAGCAAACTGAAGCTCATGGAGACTTAGTAAGCAGCCTGTGCAAGAGGCAGAAACACTCCTAATTTGGAGATTTTTTTCCCTTCAAGGCAGCTTGGCTTTCATCTTTAAGAGTGCTACCTGTGCAATTGCCCAGGACCTGGTGCTCAGAGGGCCCTGCATTCAGTTTGATGTTCTGCTGTGACTTTGTTGAAATTCTTAATTTCTGAACAAGGAAGCCTGCAAATTCTGAAGCTGCTCCTGCAATCAGTACATGGATTCTGAGAAGAAATCTTTACAGAGGCTCAGCAGTACCACCAAACTGGGAGGGTGGGGAGTGGGGGTGCTAAGAGCTAAGTCTAACGCTTCTCTTTTCTAAGGAGAGTAATTCTAGTGATTCTTAGGATCAAGCAGACCTGGGTTGGGATCCCAAGGCCAGTATCTAGAGGACTAGAGGCTCATTGCGTATGTAAATTAGCTTAACCTCTGTTTCCTATTTCCCCAATTACAAAAGGTGTAAGTTGAACTGGGCAGGGGTTTCTCAACCTTGACAGCAGACAGCAATCACTGGGGGAGGAGAACTTCAAACATGGGGATACCAGAGCCCCACCCCAGATATTCTGAATCAACTGGAGGGTTTAAGAGCCCCCAGGAGGTTCTAACATGCAGCTAGGCTTGAGAACCATAGAACCCTCTCAATCTTCAAGAATCTTCAAGAACCTTCAAGCTCCTGTACTTGTAGTTCAGATGACTTCCTCTGTGACTCCAGTAGGAATGTTCTGACCCCTCCTGCATACTCCCAGCCAACCTGGAGACCCCTTTCCTCCAGACACCTGTTGTCCTACATTCCTAGGAGGCTCCTGCTCCACAGTTTGAGATTTCCCAAGGTGTGTGGGGTTCTGTAGTCACCTTGGGACTGGCCTGAGACACCAGGAATTCATCCCTATACAGGAAATACAGACCCGTGGTCATGCTATGACAATACAAAGCTTATTTTGCATTACAAAGTAACTGCTCTATAGAAAAGCTTTTTAAAAAATAGGCTCTGGCCTGTGGACTGGCAAAAATAAAATGGAACAAAAACACTTGGCAAGCAGAGTATAATCTTATTTGCATAAGATCGTGGGTTTACATCATAATTCTGGGGGTTATAAATGCAGAGAAGAGAGGTCTGGAAGGGTGGCCACCACATAAACTGTAATTCTCTCTTTTTACCTTTGTGCTTTTCAGTTTGATTTTAAATTATATAGAAGCACCTATTTTTGTCATTTAAAAGATAGCTATTTCCATTCTGAGACGAGAATATAGGGGTAATTTACATCTAAGTGGGAGAAAGGATCACAAAGTTTTTGGTGATTAATCTTTTTTCTAAAGCTGAATTCTACTGTCCATTTAGTTTGCTGGTGTACTAGAATAATTAAAATACTAGGAGAACAAGAAATATTTGGCAAACCTATAAAAATAGAACACATTCTGTGGAGACCATTTACCCTTATTTTTATTGTGTGTGTGTGTGTGTGTGTGTGTGTGTGTGTGTTTAAATTCTAGAAGATGGGTTTTCCCCTCTTGGATTCCATGGGGTTCTGGAGCTGGTGGGAGAAGGCTGACCCCAAATTACCCCACCTAGGGCCGGTTCTGCTCAGTAAGTGGAAAGGATGGGGGCCAAGGTCGGAAGAATTCAGGCAGGGAGCAGAGATCCAGCCCAGCCTCCCTGAGGGGAAAGGAGAGGAGGTAGCCTCATAGCTGCAGGGGGAAGGGGGCACCGGTGTCACTTTCTCTGAACCTGACCCCGGCATGACCGGTCCTTATATAGACACTCAGCTGCCGCTCTAGTTCCCTAGCCAAGGGCAAGGAGGGAGGTCACTGCTTAGGGCGGCCAAGACAGCGCCCACCCTCGCCTATCCCCTCACCACGACCTACGCCCCTTACTCAACTTCAAGCGACCTTCCCCTACTAGGACCCCTGACCTTCTCTCCCTGCCCCCTCCGCAACACCTGTTCCCCCTCTGAACTATCACGCTTCTCTCCTTCCCTCCAGTCCCCATCTGCTTCCCCTCCCCCAGCCCTAACATCCAGAGAGGCTTTTCTCTTTGCTCTCCCTCACGTTTCTCCCCCTGCAAACCCCAGTACGGGAGAACCCCACGATCCCTGCACCTGTCTGCTCCCGAACCCGTCCCTGGGACTGTCCCCCCATGATCCAAGGCTTCTCCCTCCTCGAACCCGCCCGGCGATGCCAGGCCCCTCCAACCCCCCCGCCCTGGCTCACCTGGCTCATACTTGAGGTAGAGGATGGAGACGATGAAGTAGCTGAGGTCGAAGACCGGGAAGAGCGGCACCCGAGAGAAGCTGAGCGCCAACTCGCCCAGGCTTAGCGCGGACAGCAGTTCCATGGTGCGCGCCGGGTCCTACCCCAGCCCCCAGCCCGGTGCGTCCCGCCGCCCGCGATCCAGCGACTGCGCCCCCCCCTCGCCGCTGGGTCCGCCCACATCCGCCAGGCCCCGCGCGAGAGGAGGAGCGACAGCTGTCTGGGGGTGGGGGCTGTCCTGTCTCAGGGAGCCCGGCGGTCAGGTGTTCCCTACTTTGTCCCTCCTCTGGGCCATCACGACCCCATTCAGCCCAGCAAGGTGGGGTGCTGACCCCTGTGGAGTGACTTGGGCAGGGGAGCTGTCCTTTGTGGGAGAGGGGGGTCCCTCACACGTGGAGCCCACCCAGGTGAGATGGATTAGTCGGGACCGCGTCCAGATGGAGCTCGATGAGGACCCACATTCTCTGGAGTCATTGGATCGGGACCTCCATCCCTGGGGCCTGATCAGGGGAGAACTCCACCCTCCCGTGCCCTTGGGGGTCCCTTCAGTCAGGATCTCGTCCTCTATACAGCTGTCACAACCCCAGTCTTCCATGTGGCTCCATAAGTTACGACCTCCGTCCCCCACGGGGACCTCCGTCCTCCAAAGGGACCTCTCGGTAAGGAACCCCCGCCACCGGTAGTGGGGATTCCCACCTCTCATGGGACCCAGGAGGACCCTCCTCAATCAGTTGGGGCGTCCATCCTCCGGAGAGCCCACTGCATCAGGACCCATTCCTCTGTGCAGCTCAGTGGTCAGGGGCGCCGTTTCTCCGGAAGCCCCATCTGAGACTCCAGTCCAGAAGAGAAAGCCGCGGAGCTAATTCTCCAGAGCGCAGATCCCTAACGCCTGCGCGGCACACCTCCAACAAGTGACCTAATCTTTGTCTCCAGATGGCCCCGCCCGTAGGTGACGTACCTCGCTCCCCCCCGCCCCTTCCCCGCTACGCTAGGCCTCTTCAGCGAGTAAGGGCGCTTTCTCTTCCTAAGGGGGCCGGACCTGCAAAGGGTGGGACCCTGCTTGCCTTGGCCTTCGATTGGCTCGACCCTCGCCAGTGCTGCTTCATGATTGGCCAACTAGTGTTTCTCTCTCCTCCCTCCTTGGGGCTTCCGCTTCCGGTTCTGTTGGACGCTGTGGCTGTAAAGATGATCGGAGACATCCTGCTCTTCGGGTAATTAAGGGAACTAGAGGCTGGGTGGTAGGGCCGGACGGGGTTGGGGGCGGCCTAGGTAACCACATTCTCCCTCCGCAGAACGCTGCTGATGAACGCTGGAGCGGTGCTTAACTTTAAGCTGTGAGTAGGCCGCGAAGGACCGCGGCTCCACCCGGGGACCCGTAGCCCCGCCCCCGCGGGCGTGAGCCAGCCCCACGTCGCAAGCCCTGCAACCAAGTCCCAGCCCTCTCTGGCTCGGCTTGCTGCCTGGTTCTTGCTCCTGGGAGTCTTCGCGCCACCGTGACTTAAAATCCTGGCTCTCCGTTTTCCGGGGATCCCTGTACTAGTACCCTGAAGAGCCTCAGGCCCATTCCCTAAAAAACTCATAGTCCTAACCTGTACCCACGGACTATCTTCACCTTGTCGATGGCTGTAATTGGTGGAGCAGGTGGGCGCCCAGAGAAGGCGGTTGAACCGCCGGAGGTCACGCCGTAAGTCAGCAGTAGAGCTGAGTGTCTGACCCTTTGAGGCTAGGGGACTGAGCGGTCCTTGTGTCCCATCGAAAGTGGACATTGACTGCTTCTCTTTGTAGGAAAAAGAAGGACACGCAGGGCTTTGGGGAGGAGTCCAGGGAGCCTGGCACAGGTAAAGCCTCCTTTCTGGACTCTGGAATTGATCCATTTCAGAGAGGACAGTTCTTTCTAAAGTCTTATCCCAGTTTTCTTTTAAATTTGTGTGTGTGTGTGTGAGAGAGAGAGAGAGAGAGAAAGGCATGAAGATGTGATGTTCTTTCTGCTCACCTCTGTAATCCACTCCTTTCTCCTGTCAGACCTTCCTGCATAGGTCAGCACTCATTACTTTCTAAAGTTATCATTTTTCTTTAAATGTATTTTGTCATCTGGCTTATGTCTACCCCTCACACTTGACCTTTAGCTCCAGAGAAGAGGCTCCAGCTTGTTTGGCTCATTCCTGCTGTGTGATTGCATGTTTAGTATTTGGCCCCCTGTGAGCTCCTTAGGGCAGTAAATCCTGTCTCATTCTTCTCTGTGTCCACTGCACTTGGTTTACGCCTGGAATATGTGGCCTTAATCAGCATCTGTTGGTGGCAGGAGAACCCATTTACAGGATCTTGGGCTTAGAGAAGGGCCTTACCTAGCAGTGCCTCTCAGACATCCTGGGGGCCGACCCATCTCTGACTTTGAAGTCCATGCTAGGCCAACACTTACATAGGCTGTGACTCACATGGCCAGCTCCCAGAGGTGGTTAATAATGAACCCATCTAAAGTGTGTTCAACAAGACCCTGTGCTTATGCACTAGGATGATGCAGCAGGAATAGTACCAGGTAGCTGACATGCTGGGTTGCTGTGAAAATTTCTGAGCTCTTACCTGGTATTATGTGCTTACTGCACAGCTGTGGTCTCTAGGTGACACTTTGGGTAGCACCCTTGGAGGTCACCTAACCTGGACCAGTTCATTTCATTCCGGACGCTGCGGGTGGAGGTAGAGGGGGAAGACTCAAAATCCCAGAGGAAGGTTCTGGAACACAGGTCTCTGGAGTCTTAATGTACCAAATTTTTTCCTCTTGGAGTGGTTTCTGTTCCTTGGTAGCAGAGGGGACTGGAGTAAGTCATTACCAAAGCAGAACTGCTATTTTACTTGCCCAAATTAGTATGCTTTTAGTTGCAAACACGAAAATTCCAGTTCAAAGTGGTTAAATCAAATTGAAACATCCAAGAGTAGAATTGTCTTTAGGCACACCTGGATTCAGGGCTCAAAACAGCCCTCCAGCATGTGACTGTCTCCAGCTCTCTTTTTTCTTCTAGGTTGGTTTTGCTATCAGTCTGGCTTATGTTAGCAAAGATGACCCTAGAGCAGGGTTTGGCACATTTTTCTGTAAAGGGCCAGATTATAAATATTTTTGGCTTTGTAAGCCATGCTGTGTCTGGTGCAGCAATTCAACTTTGCCATTGTAACTGGAAAGCAGCCATGAGAAATATGTAAATAAATGGTCATGGTAGTATTCCATTATAACTTTATTTGTGGACACTGAAATTTGAATTTCATGTAAGTTTTGTATCTCACCAAATACTCCATTGATTATTATTATTATTTTTAACCATTAAGAAATATGAAAAACATTCTTAGCTTCTGGGCCACACAGAAACAGGTGACAGGGGCCTGTTTTGGTTTCTGAGCCATAGGTTGCCAACCCTGTCCTAGAGGACTCTGCTTATATCTTTCCAGCCCAGCCCAGGAAGCCTGGCAGAAAACAGTGGTTGGGGCAAAAGTCCCAGTGCTGACTCTCATTGGGCGTAGTACTTGGGTCACTACTCCCTGAGCCAGTTAGAGGTTGGGGGCTTGGTGCTCTCCCAGGATTGGTCAGTGGCAGCCACAGCCTGAGTGCTGAGGGTCAGGGGGCAAAAGAAACCCAAAGGAAAAGCCAAGCTGCCACTGGAACATGGGGGCAGTGGTGTGGCCTGGGCAGAAACTGCAGAAGCACCTGCGGTTGTTACAGCAGAAATGTTAGCAATGCTTGTAAACATGCTTTCTGACTTTCCAGGTGACAATATCCGGGAGTTCCTACTGAGCCTCAGGTACTTCCGAATCTTCATCGCCCTGTGGAACGTCTTCATGATGTTCTGCATGATCGTGTAAGTCAAGCCTGTTCATCTCCATCCATGTCATTATCTGCAGCGTTCTCCAAAATGACCCACCTGACGGTCTTTCTCTGTCTTCTCAGTCTACACTTTGGTTTCATGCTTTCTGTTTTTAAAATAAGAACTCTCCAAGCTAAAGAGGAAATGGATTTATAGGGTTTAAGCCATGTCACTGTGGTTCAAGCTGGAGCTTGGATTGAAACATGGCATTCTCCAAGTCCTAGCAGTGTCTGGTGTGTCACCAAGAGATGCTTTTCCTGAGCCCGTGGCTTGGTTACCTCTTGCCAGTTCTGCTGTGCTTAGTGTATACCCAGCATCTGTCAAGGTGAAAAATGTAGTTGGACAACCAGTGTGCTGCTGGGTCCTGCTCCCGCCATACTGGAATCCAGCAGAAGTGTATATTCAGACTTTATTTCTGTTTTTGTGCCCTTTAAAGAAGTTTTTGTTTGTGTGTTTTTATACCCTTTTTTATTTTCTTAAAAGGCTAAACAAATCCATTCAGGTTGGTTTTCCTTCTAGCCACAGGCCATAATTCTAGTACTGCTGTTAATGAATTGTGAGACTCAGAGTAAATAGACTCAGGATTAAAATAATAGAAGAATCTGGAGTTGTAGGCCATGCTGGGCCCATCTTGTATGCTTCCCCTAAAGAGGAAGAGAATGACTGGTTGAGATACTGAATTTCGAGTTGCTGGGTGGTTCTTATCCCAGCCAACTATTTGAGGAGATGTTTCCAGGACTTAGGGGTCAGAGGGTAAGGGGGGGGTCACTGTGCCACTAGGGCAGCGGTTCTCAACCTGTGGGTCGGCAACCCCTTTGGGGGTCGAACAACCCTTTCACAGGGGTTGCCTAAGACCATCGGAAATGTATTCCGATGGTCTTAGGAACCAAGACACTGCTCTGCTATGTCTTCAGACTGGTCTGCCCACATGCAGATACGCTCACATACAACATGAGGAACTGTATTAAAGGGTTGGGGCATTAGGAATGTTGAGAACCACTACACTAGGAAGTGTTTTAGAACCCTGAATGAGGACCATGATGGATGTCCAGAGAGGCCTGTTTTTGGGAGCTCAGGTGAGGCCTACTCAGGTACAAAGAAGTTTGTGAAGAGACAAAGGAATTTGAAGGAGAGTACAGGAAGTATAACTAGAACTTGTGGGAAAAGAACACTGTGTGTGTGGGGGGGTGTTCCTCTAGCTTTTGTCTTTCCAGGTTCCCACCTATTCATTTATTCATTCACAACTATACACTGCGGGCTGTGCTGTGGAGTCACAACAGAGACCAAGACAGCCGTAGTCCCTGCCTTTAGCGAATGCACAGTGTAACAGCTGGACAGAAAACAAACAAATAGGGGGAAATAAATTGTGAGGTAGCAAAAGGAAGGAGTCCCCCCAGTTTAGAAGGCACTCAGGCCTGGCCCTTGTGGGTCAGTGGTTAGAGCATCAGCCCACGCACCAAAAGGTCTTGGGTTTGATTCCTGGTCAAGGGCACATACCTGGGTTGCAGGTTCAATTGGGGCTGCATGCGGGAGGCAACCAATTGATGTGTCTCTTTCACCTCTTTCTTTCTCTCTCTCACACTCAGTCTCTCTGTCTCCCCCTTCCCCTCCCTCCCTCCTTCCACTCTCTAAAAATCAATAGAAAAAATATCCTAAGGTGAGGATTAATAAAAAAAGAGAAAGAAGGCAGTCAGAAGAGGCTCTCTGAAAACATGTCAAGAACTACAGGGACCCTGGCCTGGTAGCTCAGCTGGTTAGAGCATTATCCCGATATGCCAAGGTTTCGGGTTCAATCCCTGGTCAGGGTACATGAAGAAGTCAACCAATGAATGCATAGATGGATGGAACAAGTCGATGGTTCTCTCTTTCTCACAAATCAATAAAAATAAAATAAAATTGGTAAAAAATAAATAAATCAAGAATGACAGGAAGCCCAATTTGCAGAACTGGGGAGAGGCAAGGTAGTATTGGAAGTGGCATATGCAAAGGTCCTGGGGCAAGGAACAACTTGGTGGTTTGGTTTATTTGTTTGTTTGTTTTTGTTAATACTTACCAGAGGATATTTTTTCCATTGATTTTTAGAGGTAGAAGAAGAGAGGGGCTTGGAGGGAGAGAGAGAGACACACACATTGATTGCCTCCTGCACACTCCCCAACCAGGGCCGGGGATCGAACTGCAACCCAGGTACATACCCTTGACTGGGACTCAAACATGCGACCCTTTGGTATGCAAGCCACACTTTAACCAGTGAGCCATGCCAGCCAGGGCAAACTTAGTGTGTTTTTATCATTCTGTTCCTTTCTGTCCACTGGCTTTATTGTTTTCTCTTGTCTGGCTAGCATCCTTCACTGCTCATCTTCTGGCCTGTGACCAGGATTGTAGTCCCAGGCTTAGCCCAAGGCAAGCTAAGTCAGTAGCCCAGTGTCCTGATTTTATTTCCTAGGAGCAAAGTCTGACCTAGCTAGGTGTCACTCAGTTCTAGTTGGATTGGAGGTTCCTCATTCTAGCCTAACCACTGAGGTCAGGGGTTAACAAACTATAGCCGCGGGCATATCTATTCCCTGCCTGTTTTCATAAATGAAGGTTTTTGGGGTTTTTTTTTCCATATTTTGTTCAGATAGGGTGGGAGGGAGGGAGAAAGAGAAACATCGACGTGAAAGGGACACATCGAGTGGCTGCCACCCACACGACCCAACCAGGGCCGGGGACAAACTACATCCGAGGTATATGCCCTTTGCGGGAACTGAACCTGGGTCTCTCTGGACCTCAGGCCGACGCCCTAACCACTGAGCAAAACCGTCCAGGGCTCATGAATGAAGTTTTATTGTCACACAGCCATGCCCATGTCTGTGATTTCTTTTGCGCTATAGTGGTTGGGGCATAGCGACCGCCTAGGGTCCCAAAATCTGGTCTATGTATTGTGTGGCCTTTTACAGAGTGTGCTGACCTCTGACCTAGGCCATCTCTTTCTTTGGGGGTCATGAGTGAGGGAAGATTATCTCCAGAAAGAGCTGTCAGGGAGACAGTGTCTGGGCTTTTCCAGGATATTAAAACACTGGAAATCACTTAAATGTCTAAGAACAGGGGAAGAATCAGGTAACTTAAAGGATACCCATATGACCCACTGTCATGATGCCATCAGTGATATGTGCCAGAAGGTTATCTACACTGGGGAATGTGTTGAGAGTAAAGAAGGCTTATGTTACCTGTATGCACACTCTGGCTTCATTTGTGATTTGCACACAGTAAACATGGAATAAATGCTGAGTGCTGACGTCTGTGATGGAAACACTTCCAGCAAGGGCATTGGAGGGATCTGTCCGTGGTTGTGACTAGCAGAGTCTGAGGGATGGTTTGCTATTTCCTGCACCCACTTCTGTATTGTTTGGGCTGGGCTACTTTGGATTTTTTTTTTTTTTTTTTTTGGTACGTGCTCCTAGAGGGAACCGAACCCAGGACTCTCTGGTCCACAGGCCTGTTGCTCCAGCCGCTGAGCCAAACTGACCAGGGCTACTTTGGAAATTTTTAAAAGTCATAGAAAACCAGCCCTGGCCAGTTTTGCTCAGCGGTTAGAGCGTCGGCCTGCGGTCCAGAGAGACTCAGGTTTGGCTCCCGCTAAGGGCACGTACCTTGGTTGCAGTTTGTCCCCAGCCCTGGTTGGGTCGTGTGGGTGGCAACCACTCGATGTGTCGCTTTCACGTCGATGTTTCTCTCCCTCTCACTCTATCTGAACAAAATATCGAAAAATGTCCTCGGGTGAGGATAAAAAACAAAACAAAGAGAGAAGAAGGGAGAGGGAGAGAAACAGCAATGAGAGAAAAATATCGATTGGCCGCCTCCTGCATACCCCCACTGGGGATTTGGCCCACAACCTGGGCGTGTGCCCTAACTGGGAATTGAATGGCAACCTCTTGGTTGCATGGGTTGACGCTCAACCACTGAGACACACGAGTCAGGCTCTTTTCACTTTCTTGATGGTATCATTTGAAGCACAAAGTTTTTTAATTTTGATGAAGCCCAGTATCTTTTTTTCTTTTGTCACTAAGAATTTTACTGTTTTCATTTTAATAATTAGGTCTATGGTCCAGTTTGAGTTAATTTTTGTATATGGTGTGAGGTAGAGATCCAACTTCATTCTTTGGCATGTGGCAAACCAATTGTTCTTGCACTATCTGTTACTTTTTTAAAATAACCTTTTTATTTTGGAAAGAATTTAGATTTATAGAAATGTTGCAAAGAGAATTCTCAAATATCTCTTTTTAAAAGCTCTGTGGTTTTCCCCATTAGGCCTGTGTTGTAACCTGTGTACCCATTCCCAAACTTCAGAAATATTTATTACAGTTTCCAGGCCGTTCCTATTCCAGATTTCTTCAGTGAATAGAGTTAAGTGTAATCATTTGTATATTCAAAGGACTTTTTGATACTGACTTGCAGTAATGGAGAATTAGTGAAAATAAAATGTTGCAGATTTCTATGAAGTGGATAATTCTTGAAAGAGTTACATTTTTCTTTTAAGTGTATAGATTGGTAGTGTTAAGTATATTCACAGAGTTGTGTAACAGAAGAATTACTTGTAAAATCAGAAAATGGTGTAAAATAATCTTAAAAGCAACATCAAATATTTTCTAAAAATGTTTTCAGAGTGACAGCTTCCCATTCTCACAGACATTTCTGCCATCTGAATTTTCCAGGTTGTTTGGCTCCTGAGCTCCAGATATGGAACCAGGAACATACCTTCCCAGATGCCACGCCTTCCTCTGTTCCTGACAACTTCAAGAATGTGTTTGACCGGAAAACCGGTGACTTTCCCAGAAAGCCCAAGCTCGTGGTGGGTGGGAAGAATTGTTCACCAAGTTGTGCAGGGTTTCCTGACCATGTCACTGTTGTTTTATTTTTTTTAAAGATATTTTTACATTGGACTCTGCATTGAAACATCTACCTAAGGAGTTTCAGGAGGGTTTATGTAAGGGGCTATGGTAACATTGTATTCCTCATAGAAAATAGAACACATCTAGATAGTTTTATTGGATTGGAATCCCTCTTCCACCAAGTTTTCACTAGAAAGACATTCCTGGCTATTTCTTGTTTTATTGTTAATAACCATCCCTTTTGGCTCGAATTATACAGGTTTTTATTTATTTATTTTTGGGGGGGGAGAGAAAGAGAAACATAGATGTAAGAGAGAACATAGAATGACTGCCACCCACACGACCCCAACTGGGGCCAGGGACAAACTGCAACCGAGGTACGTGCCCTTAGTGGGAACCAAACCTGGATCTCTCTGGTCCATAGTCTGATGCTCTAACCGCTGAGCCAAACTGGCCAGGGCGAATTATACAAGTTTTTAGAAATCATTTATTTCTAAGAATTTGAAGCAGAAAGGTTGCCTTTTAAGTTTGATGCAGCCTCTTTTGAGGACTCTGTTTAAGAATAATAAAGTTCATTTTTGCTGGGTCTACATTAAGTTCCTTTTCTGTCCCAATAGGCTCTGATTGACCACTCAGTGGAGCTGTCATCCCTAGGACTTTAAGGGTGAAGTATTACTGGTTCCCACAGAAGAGGTGCAGAACAGTTGGCAAGGGCAGACAGGTGTCTTAGGAGAAATTTTATATTGCCTTGAAAGCTCTCTGTTAAAGGGGTTATTAATTGTACAATTTTTAGAGTGAGAGTGATTTATGTGGTAATATTGGGATGTAATTCTGAAAGCTTGAGGTTTTGGAGTCAAAGTTGAAAAACAGTGAGCTTCATTTGAGCATTTTTCACAGAAGCTTCTTTGAAAGAGTCCTGATTTAATTGCCAAAATAAAACACTAGTGGTCAGCACCTGGATCTCATAGGTGTTTAATTTGTCTGTTGTGGTTTTTGAAATCCTGACTTAAAAGTAAACCTGGTGGGAGGAACAAGCAAACATGCATGCTTTTAGAACTAACTAGCATAGCCCTGGCCAGTTTGGCTTAGCAGTTGCGTGGTGGCCTGCACACTAGAGAGTCCTGGGTTCGGTTCCTGCTAGGGGCACGTACCACAAAATAAAATAAAAAACTAAATAGTATTGAAAATGAAGTGCATTTTCCCAAAAGGACCTTTGGTTATACATTTTTAAAAATAAGACATTGCCTTTCAATTTGAGTCATTTCTAATTAAGCTATGGGAAACACTTCAGATTTTTTTGGAGGCTGTCAAAAAGAAATGATTATCCCTTTTGGATTTTGCTCAGTAAGTGTTGGTCAGGAATTGGGCAAATATGGTTTTGACCTGGCTGCTCCTAGAAGAATTGAAAGAGCCAGTGATAATGGTGGGGTTTCCCTAGACCAGGGTCAAATCCACTTGTACTATTGCTCAGCTAATGTCATTCTACTTCATTGCTTCTATAGCTTATTCCCTTGTCAAATCTGGCTAAGCATCTCCCCATTTGTAAGTAGCAGGGAATATAGCTTCTGAATTGAGTTTTGCCCAGGCCTGTGTTCTTTTTTTTTTTCTATTAATTTTTTTTTTTTTTTTTAATCCTCATCCGAGGGCATTTTTCCATCTCTTGTACAGACAGAGTGGGAGGGAGAGAGAGGAAGAGAGAGAGAGAGGGAAACATCGATGTGAAAGGGACACATCGAGTGGTCGCCACCCGCACGACCAACCAGGGCCGGGGACAAACTGCAACCGAGGTACATGCCCTTAGCGGGAACCGAACCCGGGTCTCTCCGGACCGCAGGCGGACGCTCTAACCGCTGAGCCAAACCGGCCAGGGCCAGGCCTGTGTTCTTGCAGCAAGAACAGATGTGCCAAAATCTTGGCTGGTCAATCTTCAAGCTGTGTCAGTGGTGTGAGGAAATCTCTGCCTCATTCAGACCCAAACTTAGGTTTCAGTGGGACAGGGTATTCGTGTGGTACAGGGATGAATCGTTCTCGGAAAAGAGAATGGTGTTATTGAGGTTTTGTTTCAATAATTGTATTTTTCTTCAGAGAATTATTATCTCATTGTTAAGTTGTTACAAGCCAGAGTAGCTTTGGGATGCATATCAGAGTTTGCTGTACATTTTAAAAATTTGCATATCATGGATCTTTTTTTTTTTTTATCCTCACCCAAGAACATTTTTTCCATTTTTTATTCAGATAGACTGGGAGGGAGGGAGAGGGGGAGAGAGAGAGAGAGAAACGTTGATGTGAAAGGAACACATCGAGTGGCTGCCACCCGCATGACCCAAACAGGGTCAGGGACAAACTGCAACCGAGGTACGTGCCCTTAATGGGAACCGAACCCGGCTGTCTCTGGACCGCAGACCGCCACTCTAACCGCTGAGCCAAACCAGCCAGGGTGCATATCATGGATCTTTAAGAAGCTTTTCAAGAACCCTCACTGGCACCAAAGCTTATCAGAGTTTGAATTTTGGGTGTGTAGGATCCCGCAGCATTTAAGTGCTCAGGTTCAGCGTCAGTTAAGTGTAGATTCAAATCCCATCTCTGTTCATTGCTGGGGGGACCTTGGCTGATTGCTTCTCCTCTCTAAGCCTCAGTCTCCATATCTCTAAAATGGGCTTGAAAGTCACACCTACCTGGATTTGTTGGATGGGTGAACTTGAATTTGGGCTGGGTGCATGACCAAATGCGTGGGTTTCCTTACTGCCACATTTCGCTCTTCTTGCCTAGATTCATTCAGTCAGTCCACACCTACACAAGGGTGATCACAACAATTTTAAAAATTGGAATCAATTTCCAGCATGGAAAATCTTTCCTTGTCTTCCCATTCCTTTTCCAGTGCTTTCCTTTTGCCTGTTGGTATATATCACATAGTTCTGATAGTAGGTAAGGCAGTTTCGGTTCTGTTGTTTTCATTTCAGCGTCACTTTTTTCATATTTTCTGGACTGCCAAAAAAGCTTCATGGTTCTCATTTTTAATTACTGTGCAGAATCAATAAATCTTTAACCTAGATCCTCTTGCTTGACTCGGTTTGTACTTTGTCCACTATTATAAATGTCGCTACTGTCACCAGTGTTCTGATCTTTTCTGGCTTCCCTCACTGGTACTTCTGGGAGCACTCAGGAAAGCTGCATCATTATGTACCACCATTATGGCTTTAGTGGCCTTATTTTGTTTTAGTTTCTTACTACCAATGCATTTTTATTGTAGAAAATTTCTAAAATGCAGCTTGTTTATATATTTCTCCCTCTAATACCATTCTAATAATTGCAAATAAGCTATTATGAGGATGTATTAATTTAATTAGTCCCTAACTGATAGAGACTTGAGTTGTTTCCAGTTTTGGTCTATTAAATAATTTTTGTTGTTGTTACTCCTCACCAGAGGATATTTTTCCATTGATATTTTTTTAGATAGAGGGAGAGGAGAGAGAAAGAAACATCAATGTGAGAGAGACACATCAATTGATTGCCTTCCTCAGGACACTGACCGGGGCCTAGGAATCGAACCTGTGACCCTGCAGTCCACAAGCCAATGCTCTAACCGCTGAGCCAAACCAGCCAGGCCAATGTCACTGTTAAAGAGACCTACCTTGCCCAGCCAGTGTGGCTCAGTGGTTGAGCATTGATCCATGCACCAAGAGGTCACCGGTTCAATTCCCGGTCAAGGCACATGCCCAGGTTGTGGGCCCAATCTTCAGTGGGGGCATGCAGGAGGCGACCAATCATTGTTCTCTCTCATTGATGTTTCTCTCTCTCTCCCTTTCTCTCTCTCTCTCAAATCAATAAAGAAAAACAAATAAATAAATAGAAAAGAGACCCACCTTGACAACTTTAGGTTAAAAACCCCAAAGACAGATGCATCTTGGACAGCTTACATCTTTGTTTTTCTTTATTGTTTGTTCCTTCATTTCATTCCTTCATTTGTACATATGTACCTCTGTTTATATATACATACATACATACCAAAGAACTTGGTTCTAAATCCCTATCAGCTCTGGCCAGGATGGGTATTAGGCTGCTTCAGTTTGTTTAAGCTGTGAATAAGGAGGTTTTCAGCTCTACCAGATAACTGTTTCTTTGTGCAAGTGACAGCAGTTGAGGTCATACCAGCTGGCTTTCCACCTTGGCTCAGAAGGATCTTAACCACCGTCTGAGTGATAAGTGCCAACTGCTGTTCGCCCTGGAGCGTGTTATGTGAAGTTGCTGCTGAGGTGAGAAGCTTTACCTGGAGAACAAAGAGAAGGCTCGGTTTGCTGCACCTATCCTGGTCACAAACTTAGGGTTCATATTGAATACCTCCACTGGGGATTCATATCGGAAACCTTTTGCTTCCTCCACCCTTGCCATCTTGAGAATGGAACATGTCCCTCCTTTGTGTGAGTTTCTTATTGCTCTTCAATTACAGCAGCTCTAGAGTAGAAACGAAACCAAGTCTACAGCTGTTTTTGTAAATAAAGTTTTATTAGCACCCAGCCATACCTCTCTGAGTATGTGTCGTCTGTGGCTACTTTGCTTTCCTGTTGCAAGGGAAAGTTGCTGACGGAGACCATCTGTCCCACCGAGCTGAAAATACTGCCTGTCTAATCCATTTACAGGACAAATTTGCCAGCCCCTGAGCAAGGGAATGATGGAGAATCTCAAAGTGCCCCTTCCTCCCAAAGCCACTCAGGTGGAATCTTTTGTGTGCCTTGTGGTCTAGATTTTAATAAAGATGTTTGCAAACGTGTTTTTAGTCTTACTGAAAATTGAGTCAGCCATTTTCAGGTAATGTGGTTAATAGAGCAAAACCCGATTTTATATCTCAGTAGTTAGTGGCGAGGTCCCTCCTTTATATCTCAGTAGTTAGTGGACTCTGACATTCTTCTGAGCGGTAGCTCAATGTGGTAATCACATTGGCTCTACTCTGAAGTGCTTAGATCTGAAAAGCCAGTGAGACTCATTAGTGAAGCATTTTCTTTTTATTTCAATCGTTTCATTATTTCCTTAACCAAATTAAAGTTTATGAAATATTGACAGACGTCCTGATGTTTTCCTGTGTTGATGAAAGATTTAAGCTGTTTGTGCATAAAGCAAAAAGCTTGTTTGTTTTTTAATGTAAGTTTGACTTGGGGATTTGTTTTCACTAATTACTTTTATTATTATGTAGAGGAAAGCACTTGATCTGTTTCAAGCCCCTCTCTGGCACTAGAGCATTCCTGAAGTAAGAGTTTGGTTGGTACTAGCAAGTGTTCTGGATGAGAAATTGAGCAAAAGGATCTGTAGCAAATCAGAAATTCAAAGCCCATGTTTTTCAACAAGAAAATGGCAAGAATTAATTAAGTGTGTGGCTCTGTGGCTTGCTTTTTTGTGTGTTTTTATTTTATTTTCTCCATCACCACTTATCCCCTCCATGCCCTCCTCCACCTCCACCTCCACCTCCACCTATGTGGCTTTCTTTTTTTTTCTCTAATCCTCACTGGAAGGTAGTTTTTCCTTTTTTATTTAGAGAGAGAGTGGGAGGGAGGAAGGAGGAGAGAGAGAGAGAGAGAGAAACATTGATGTCAGAGAGACACATCTCTCTGTGGATTGGTTGCCTCCAACCAGGGTCTGCAGACTTGACCAGAATCAAACCCAAAACCCTTTGTTGTGAGGGCCAATGCTCCAACCACTGGGCCACACTGGCTAGGGGTGGCATTCTTTTTGTTTTTACTGATACCATATGTTGGCAAACTACTGCCCAGCTCTGGCCCACCACCTTACCTTTTCACAGCCTATGAGAGAGAATGGTTTTTACCTTTGTAAATGGTTGGGAGGGAAGTTAAGAAAGTGAAAGGAAATTCAGTTTCTTTGTTTATAAATAAAGATTTACTTGAATGCTGCCGCTCACGATTGTTTATGTATCATCAGTGGCTACTTTTGAGCTGCAAGGACAGAATTGGGTTCCTGTGACTGTCAACATAAGAAATGTTCAAACCTGTAAGAATTTTTGTTGTTGTTAATCCTCACCCAAGGATACTTTTTCCATTGATTTTTAGAGAGTAGAAGGGAGGGGGAAGAGAGAAACATCAATCGGTTGCCTCCTGCATGCATCCTAACAGGTGCCTGGGATCGAACCTGTAGCCCAGGTACATGTCCTTAATCAGGAACCCAGCCTACGACCATTCTGTGTGAGGGCCAATGCTCTAACCACTGAGAACACCGTCACTGCCAAACGGGTAAGGATTTTTTTATGAGTTTATTTGAACCAAATTGATGACAACTGCTGGGAAGCAAAGTATCACTGAATTGAGAATATGTTTCAAAGAAGGGCAGTTTTGCACCTTATTTTATACATTAGAATCAAAGGAGAAAACGTAGGGTGTTAACATGAAATCCACTGGTGATAGATGAGGGACGTGGGAGAAAGCAAAGCAGGGTGGGGAATCTCTGGGATTGGTTAAAAAATAAAACAAATAGACACACTCTTTTTACATAGGTGGGTATAGGATGGTTAACAATTAACATGAGCCCTGGTCTGTGAACCAAGGAGTCCCAGGTTTGATTCCAGCCAAGGGCACGTACCTCAGTT